AGGGCGCTAAAGTACGAAAACTCACCAGTTTATCACAATATTTGCAATTTCTGGCATGTTCTCACTTTGCAATTAAATGCTTTCCGGCCGAGTTCGCATATAGGCCCGTTGACCGAAGTCGTCTATGCCTGCGCGTGCAAATTAGGGCCCACTATACCGCAAATCGCCGGTTGTAAGCCAATAAATGATTTTTAGCATGCATTATAACACGAGTGAACCACGAATGAAGATGCAAGCCGATCATTGCTTGTGAAACCGTGAAACGCCAGGAACAGTTTTTTATCCTGAGTTTCTAGCACTGGCCGGAAATCTGAATTGTTTAGCCGTTGGTGTGATTAAGTCGATTTTTTCTTTAGGATTTGGACGGTTCCATTTTTCGCTGCTGGCAGTATGCGGCCTTATATACCTAAACACAGCGGTTGGTATCACGATCATTTCCTTCGTGCTACCATCCGCAACTTGCGACTTTCAAATGTCGTCATCGGACAAGGGATGGCTAACGGCCGCACCTATGTTTGGTAAGTATATTTTGTTTAAAGTTTAAGTTGACAACACGAAAATGTCGAATCAATTGAAAATGTAAAGGCTTAAAGGGAGTTTCTTTCGTTTCAATAAGAAGCAAGAGAAAAGCGTTCGGATCTTCCAGCTGGTTCTTGCCTGTTCACTAATTGGCCGCTCTGTCGCAACAATTACTTAAAGTGCAGAAACGTCTCAACTGGCAATTGAGGCTCCAGGTATGGATTTCCAAGAATCTGGCTAATGAACATCGGGATTTAATGGCAACAAATTACTGTATTAATCATGGAGAGTGTCCTCAAAGTAAACAGTAATTAGGGCGCCATTATTCAAATTAGTCTGTTAATATCTGAAACGCCACAAACTGGACTAGAGCTAGAATCAACTGGCAGATATTCATTTCTCCTTGAAAAATGGTGGAGAAAACTAGTAAAAGCGTTATAATAATTGAAGTACTGGTTGATTAATATTAAACGGCCAGTTTATATTTAGAGTCCAATTTCTTCGGCTCTTATTGCCTTGTTCGACTGAAAACTACCCACTCGAGACTAGCAAAAACAACACACTCATTTGAGGATAAATTTAGATTCCATATTGGAACTTCAAAGTAAACCTTCAGCTAAAAATAGACCAAACCTTATCGGAATTTCATCATCACATCAGAAAAGTCTCTCAGTCTTCAGCCTTCAGACACCCAAAAATGAATGGCTGTTTTTTTGCAGGGATGGTAATTGGCTCATATTTCTGGGGCTGCCTGGCTGACACCAAGGGCAGGAAAACCGTCCTGATTGGTGCTTTAATCATGGATGGAATCTGCGGACTTTTATCGAGCATATCGCAGGTTTATTGGCTGTTCATGTTCCTGCGGTTTCTAAACGGCTTTGCGTAAGCGGTTTGCTCGGCGGTTTTCCTTCAGAGCTTGATGCTTCATTGTTCATTTTCAGCATCACCGGAGCGATGGGCATTTGCTTTCCCTACCTGGGTGAGTTCCAGCCTGGAAAATATCGCGAAACCATCTTGTGCTGGATGGAACTGTTTTGGACCATGGGAGTGATCGTTTTGCCTGGTAATTGCGCTTATTTTGTTTCCAATCCTTGTTAACCAGAATTCTGATTTATTTTCCTCACTGCGTGTACTTGTTATTATATTTTAATCCTTCCTGGGTCTCAGTCAAAGTGTGAAGTAAACATTTTTGAATATCGTTTATTTCATTAGGTTTCGGCGAGACAACAGCGCCATCATCAGATTTAAAATTTACACAAACTCATAATTGGTAAACATTAACGTTCTTTTAGGTCTTTGCCTTGTTGAAACCTTAAATTTGTCTTCGAAGACAAATTTAAGGCATTTGAGTAATATTTTCAGTATTTTGATCCTCAACTATCTTCTATGGACCGTGAAAGTTTCAAGTGTCTGCTTGCTCTAGATTGGAAGTTGC